CCCCAAACAGGGGCGCCTGGGTGGCTCATTCATTGGGCGTCTGCCTTCGGCTCGGGTCATGATCCCAGGGTCCTGGGATCGAGCCCTGCATTGGGCTCCCTGCTCAGCGGGAAGCCTGCTTCTCCCTCTCCCACTCTCCCTGCTTGAGTTCACTCTCTCGCTGTGTCTCTGTCTGTCAAATAAATAAATAAAATCTTTAAAAAAAAATAAATACATAAAGCCCCCAAACAGTCCTATGTGTATATGGAATTTTAGTATATGATAAAGGAAGTCTTTCAAATATGGATGAAAGGATGGGTTATTCATTATTGGAAAAGCCAGCTTGCCACTGGAATAAAATAGTTAGATCTTAATTTCATAACAACACAGAAACAGATTCCAGACAGATTAAATATCTAACCATTAAAATAAAACTATAGAAGATTTAAAATAAGATATTAGAGAATATTAATAAGATACTGGGATGAAGAGAATCTTCTAGATGAGGTACAAAACCTAGAAGCCAATAAGGATATGTTACCAGATTTGAATATACAGAAACATAAAATTTCAGTAAAGCAAAAGATGCCACAAGCACACTGCTACCTGCAAAATATATCCCAAATTTAGTCCTCTTAATAAATATCCATGGGTAATAAACCCATCGTTTAAAAATACTGACAAGGGACACCTGGGTGGCTCAGTCAGTTAAGCATCTGCCTTCGGCTCAGGTCATGATCTCAGGGTCCTGGGATCGAGCCCCACATCGGGCTCCTTCCTCAGCGGGGAGCCTGCTTCTCCCTCTCCCACTCCCCCTGCTTGTGTTCCTGCTCTCTCTGTCTCTGTCAAATAAATAAATAAATAAATAAATTAATTAATTAATTAATTAATTAATTAAATACTAGTAAACAGGAGTGTCTTACCCTACCAGATTCTGAGATAAACTACAAAGCCACACTTAGACAAACAGCATGTTGTTGGTGTAAGAACCAGACCAATGGGACAAAATAAAGGGATCAGAGACACGCCCTGATAGTTAAGGGAACGTAATCATTGATAAAGTTGGCACCACAAATTAATAGGGAAAGAACAGCTATTTAACAGATGATGTGGACATGAGTGGCTCCCTAAATAGAACAAATTAAACAGTATTCCCACTTATTTCTATACTAAAAAAAAAAAAAAAAGGCTGTAAATGGGATCAACACCTGAAATGGAAAACTATAAAGTTAATAGAAGACAATGTAGGAGACTCTACTTGTGATCTGGGGATAAGAAAGATTTCTTAAACAACACTTTGAAACCATGAACCATAAGGCAAAAACATTTCTAAATGTCATTACATAAGGATTAAGGATTTCTATCAACTAAGAACACACCGAAAAAGTTGGTAGAATGCAGACAGAATGATGAAAGGTATTTTCAATGCTTTTGCAAATCACCAAAGGATCAACATCTAGCATATACAAAGAGTTCTTACGTAATCCGCAAGAAAAAGATGACTGTGCCAACGTAAAAATGGACCAGAGATTGGAACTTGCAGTTTATGTAGGAAGGGAAACCCAAAAGGCTAACAGGCATTTGAGGAGATGCTCAAAATCATCTGCATTCAGGGAAGGGCACATTGAAACACCAGTGAGATTTCACTGTAGCTATTAAATCGGAAAACGCTGAGAAGGCTGAATCATAGTTGCCTTTCCCAACAACGAGAGAATGGGGAAGGATATGTGGGTACAAAGACATAACAACCAATCAAGAGGGCAAGCACAGGGCTCATGGGACCAAAGAGGACACACTCCACACTCCACATCCTCAGCCCTCGGCACTCAGGGGAGATTTTTTCCCTCCAGCGCTCCCCAGCTTCACGGCCACTGGTCTAGTGCCAGTCATCACCTCCATTCAGCTTGACGACTGCACTAGCCAGACTGGTCTCCCTGCTTCCACTCTTGCCTTCCTACAAGCTTTTCTCTGCAGAAGGCACAAGTGGTCTCCTAAAAACATAATCCAAGATATGATACATTAAATCAAACCAAATAACCACATCAGCTAGGTTCTGTGATGGCCCTGAGTAAAATCCCCCAGCCCCTGGGGGCTCTCACTTCTTGCCATGGCCCTGAAAGGTCCGGTGTGGTCTGGCTGCTCACGTCTGTTCTCCTCCTCCCCTCACGCACAAGTTCCAGCTACACCAGCCCTCCCCGCCTGGAACATGGCAAGCTCTTTCCTACATCAGGGATTCTGCACTTGCCATTCCCTGGCCTGATATCCTTGACCCTGACTCTTGTGTTGCTGCTCTTTCTCATGGTCACGGATCTGCTCAAATGTCCTTTTCTCCAGCAACTCTTACCTGACCGCCCTCCAGAACATGTATGCCTCTCACCCACCTACTTGCTTCTGGGTCACTGTGGTTATTTGGTTTGATTTAATGTATCATATCTTGGATTATCTTGTTCATTGATTCTTTTTGTCTCTTGCTATCAGACTGTAACCTTTTATAGGGTAGAGATATTGCTTGTCTTGTTCATCAACTGGAAACACCTAACCCCACCAGTAAAGGAATGGTTTGAATGTTCAGACGCATTCACACACCTGGAACATTACGCAGATGTCAATAGAAACGAAGTGGCTAACATTTACTGAATGTAAACAAAGTGACAAAGACTAATCTACATATCTTATATTACCTGTGAAGTAGCTAGTGTTATTATCTCACGAAAAAAAGAATTGAGACATGGAGAGGATAAGTAATTAGCTCAGGGTCACCATGGTAAGTGACAGGACTGGGAGGCAAGTCAGTCTGACCCCGGAACTTCTGGCTCTAACGAGACACACATCGGGAGATGAGTGTTAATATGTCGAGACGTATCAGAACCTCTGGCCAACAAGCTAGACGTGACTCCATTTCATGAGGAGATACAAAATGTGCATAAACATGACAAGAAAGGACCTTCATCCCAAAGAAGGTAATATTCTTTGTGTTGTCAATAGATATGGCTCACAAGTATTTTCCGTTCTTTCTCTCTTATTTTTTCTTTCAATATTTTATTTATTTATTTGACAGAGAGGGAGAGAGAAAGCACAAGCAGGGGGAGTGGGAGAGGGAGAAGCAGGCTCCCCGCTGAGCAGGGAGCCCGACGCGGGGCTCGATCCCAGGACCCTGGGATCATGACCTGAGCCGAGGGCAGATGCCTCACCGACTGAGCCACCCAGGCGCCCCCCATTCTTCCTCTTTATAACAAGATGTTTAAGGCCCAGCCGAGCGCTTCGCATCCTGAAAGTGCTTGTGTCAAAAGCCCAACATTACTCCATCTTGTGAAGTTCCTGCTCCTAACAGTTGTGGTCTCTGGTTTCAACTAGAGGATAGGTTTTATTTCCTAGCTCTTGACTCTCTCTCACATAGCAAGACTGGCTGGAGCCTTTTGTACACTGCACTTACCCTTTGTCACTGGTCGCTTCCGTGAGGATGACATTGCCATTGTCTCCAACCTGACTGAACATGATATAGTTGGTTAGGGGTCTAGACTTTCAAGTTTCAAAGACCTGGATTTGAACACCGCTTCTGCTATCCATTAGCTGCCTGAACTTGGGTGAATTTATCCCTATACACTTGAGTTTCTCCATCTGTGAAATGGAAAGCATAATGACTTCTACCTCATGGGGTGGTTACGGAGACTAAAGGAGATAAAGCGCTTAGGACATGCTGACCTTCAGTCAGTGATGCTTTCACCAGAGATGTGTGATGCACAGTAATACCAGAGACACCAAGACATCATCCCTGCCCAAGGAGCTCCTGTCTATTTGGGTGAGTCGGAAAGGTCACACAAGTGGTCTCCGGATGATCCTGTCACATATGAGGAGAGGTGTGAAAATATGCCACTCAGAAAGCATCGCCACCCAGGGCCGGAAAGGTCAGAAGAGGCTGCCTGGCCACAGGAAGACCTTGCACTTGCCTTTGAAGGAAGGGTAGAGACCTGATGAATAAAGCAGGAAGGGGCATCTGTGTCAGGCGAGATAGCATGAGCAAGGGGATGAAGACTCAGAAAGGAGACCAAAGAAAGTCTTGGATATCAAGTGCAAGAATCATGATTTTTGCCGGCCGTGGTAAAGCTCAGGGAAAGTTCCTGAGCAGAGTGTTTGAGAAAGACAGCAAATCCCGCCCCCCGGGGTAGAACAGGTGAATAGTAGCACTGTGCGGCCTGCGAGCGCTGGAAGGCAGGCATGCCTCCTTTATCAGCCCCGTGTGGCCCCCGGGGGCAAGCCGTGGGCTACGAAAGGCCCCGATCCACCTCTCCCTCTGCACCTGAGAGGAATGCTGCTGGGTCTCGTCCTCTCCACATGCCCGATCGGCTCCATGCAGCCTGGCCCAGGTTCTCTAGCTGCCACTCAGGACCTAAGGGGCTGGGGCTCGGGAAAGATAAAGGTGTGCTTATCTGTGGAGGAGGGGGCTGACTCCAGAGCAGGCTTGTCAGAGGGAGATGGCGGGGGGTGGGGGGGGGGTGGGAAGGGGGCGGGTTGCAGATTCTATTCATTTCTTCATTTTGCCTTTAGTCGGCCCCGCCAGGCCAGAGCAGAGTCCTGTCCGTCGTGGTTAGGTAGGGGTAAGTCCACATAGGCAGACACTGTTTTTCCATATGGCTGCTTTAAACGGTTGGGAGGGCCTGGGTATCGGGCAAAAGTCACCTGGCCATGGAGCCCACGTGGCGCCAGCTACCTGCAGCAGATGACATTACACTGGGGGAGAACATTGGCTCCTTACTAGGCTCTGATTCTGGAGAAACGGACTCTGAACAGACACTGCTTTGGAGTGAGGGACTCTGATTAGGAATTATCCTCTCCTGAGAATCAAAGATTTACCAAGGGGATTAAGAAAAAAAAAAAGATGATCAAAACCACAATGAATATCCTGGAAGAGGCTGCTGAGAAGTTCTCCTCCTCCCAGAGCTAGAAGTTCTCCACTGTGGCAGCAGCTGTGACCCCCGCCCCACTTGGAAGACCCCAGTGACCAACAAGCCAGCCCCAGAGTCATGGGCCTTGAGACAGATCTGGAGACCAGCTCGGGTGGGAAGCCGGCCTGCCATCAGGCCATCCCCACCGCTCACCTCACTTTTGTCATTGACTGTGCTCGTGGCAAACAGCTCTCCCTGGTGGCACCCCCAGTGCCGCCCCGAGCCCCCAGTCCCCATCTAGGACCTGTCACTCCTCCAATGAAGACCTGTATCTTGTTCTGTGGAGAAAACCGGCCCCACCTGACTCAGGGGGCCCTCTGGGTGGGAGACACCTGGCCCATGCCGGGGGGACCCTGCCACCCCGCAGTGGGACGGTGGCCCCAGCTTCCTCCCCAGTCGGTCCACGTGTCCCCCAGGAGGCTCCTGAAGCCAAGGGGAACCCCTTAAAGACTGTGCCCTCAAGGTCTTCAGCTTGGGGCACGGTCATCGGCTCGCTCAAAGCCCTCTCCTCCTGTGTCTGTGGGCAGGCAGAGTAACAGGAAGAGCCTGGCCCTGGAGGAGGGGGTTGGCACAGCAGGCTTGAGAGCTCGGGGTGGGGGTTGGGGGCTGCAGTTCCCAAAGCCCAGCCCTCTTTCCCCACCAAGCAGAAGTCTTTGTGCCTGAGCCAAGGAAGAGCATTGGATCAGATCAAGGACATCTGAAACAGCCACTAAGTACACACTCAAAGGTCTCCTCCTTCCTCCTCCTTATCTTTGTTCACCTTTCACTAGAAGCAGGATAAGGCACCTATGCATGGAAAGAGACTAATTCATTGCTACAGCAAATCCTAACGGAGCATCTTCTGCATTCCAGGCTCTGCAAAGTACTAGGGAAGAGACCACAGCATTCTTGGAGCTTATCCTTGGGGCGGTGGGTGGGGGTGAGGGGAAGGGTTAAATAAGTAAACAAATAAATAAAGATGATTTTGAACAATGAAAAAAAAAAAAAACCACGATGAAATACCACCTCACATCTGTCAGATTGGCTGTTACCAAAAAGACAGTAGATAACAAGTGTTGGCGAGGACGTGGAGCAAAGGGGGCCCTTGTTGATGGGAATGCAAACTGGTGCAGCCACTGTGGAAAACAGTATGGAGGTTCCTCAACAAATTAAAAATAAAATTACCGTATGATCCCGTAATACACTACTATTTATCTAAAGAAAATGAAAACACCAATCAGAAGGGATACGTGCACCCCTATGTTCATGGCAGCATTACTGACAATAGTCAAGATATGGAATCAAACTCTGTGTCCATCCATAGATGAATGGATAAGAAGAGGTGTCATATATATACATATATAATATTATATGTATAATGGAATATTACTCAGCCATAAAAAGAGTGCGATCTTTTCATCTGCAACAACGTGGATGGATCTAGAGGGCATTGCGCTAAGTGAAATAAGTCAGAGAAAGACAAATACCACATGATTTCACTTATATGTGGAATCTAAAACACAAAACAAAGAAAACAGAACCAGACTCATAAATACAGGAAACAAGCTGTTGGTTACTAGGGGAGAGGGTTTAGGGGGTGCTCATGAATGAGGTAAAGGGGGTTAAGAGGTACGAACTTCTAGTTATAAAAATAAACAAGCCATGGGGATATAACATACAGCTTAGGGAATCATCAATAATATTATAATAACTGTGTATGGTGACAGACAGATGGTAACTAGACTTATCATGCCAATCGTTTCATAATGTATAAAAATATCACATCAGGGACGCTTGGGTGGCTCAGTCATTAAGCTTCTGCTTTCGGCTCAGGTCGTGATCCCAGGGTCCTGGGATCGAGCCCTGCATCGGGCTCCCTGCTCGGCGGGAAGCCTGCTTCTCCCTCTCCCCTCCCCCTGCTCGTGTTCCCTCTCTCGTTGCGTCTCTCCCTGTCAAATAAATAAAATCTTAAAAAAAAAAAAACAAGAAACATGGCTTCAGAATTTCTCTAGGCCTCAGTTTTCCTATAAATAACAGATATGGCATGTGCCCACCTCCGCCATCCAGTAGCAAGGGTTTACTAGTTAGAGACTCTGGAGACCCCCAAGCTGAGAGCACGTCTGTCCTGCTTCCCACTGATGCCTGGGAGATGTGGTCTCCCAGCGGTGCCCTTTGCCCACTGGAGGGCAGACGAAAGAGGCCAGGGCAGATTCATGGAAACTCTGCAAGGCTCCCGGAGCGAGGAGGGCTGTGGGCCTGTGGGAGAGGATGGGGCCGTGTGGGCTGATGGCCGGAACCGCGCAGCGGGGCTTGGGGAGGCTGAGGCCCCAGCTCAGGGGATGCTGCATGATGGGGCACTTGCGGATGGCCTGGTAGGATGGTTGTGCTTTTGGTAAAGTGACCATTTGGTGGATTGACTTATTTTTTTACTTTAAAAATCAACTTTTGGAGGTATAACTTAGTACAATAAAACACACCTATTTGATGAGTTTTGCCAAACATACACAGCTGTGTAATCACCACCACAATCAAGATGTAGATCATTTGCATCCTTTCCAAACGCTGCCTCATAGCCCTTTGCGGTCAGTCCTTGGCCTTTCCCCTGGCCCCAGCGTGCCACCGATCTACTTGCTGTCACTGCAGATTAGAGGTGTCTTTCCTGGAGTTCCACATAAATGGGTCAGAGTGCTCAGTCTTTTGTGACTGACTTCTTTTGTGTAATGTCAGGTTTTTGAGATCTACCCATGTAGCTGTATTGCATGTGTTCTTTTTCATTGCTGTGTAGTATTCCATTGTAAAAATATTTACAATTCGTTTGTCCATTCATCAGTTGAAGGACAAAGCTGTTTCCAATTTTTATCACTTATGAATAAAGATGCGGTAAACATTCGCACACAGGTTTTTGTGCAAATATATGTTTTCATTTCTCCTGGGAAAATACCTATGAGCTGAATGGCTAGGACTGAATGATTTTTACAAAGTGACCCAGAGCTAGGGGCTCATGTGACAATCCCAGGCCCCAGAACAGAGCCTCCCATCCTCAGCCCTTCTCCACTCTCGCTCTTTTCTCTTGTCTTCTCTTCCCCTCCCCTCACCCTTCCCTTTGGCCTTCCCATCCCACAGGAACCCATAGGATGGATGTGGAGGGAGCTCCTGGCTTCACCCACAGAAGGGTGACAAGCGGCCCTCACTTTTCTTGGTCTAAAGCTGGCTGACCAAGCACCCCCAAACTCTTCCAAGTCTCTTGACATCCGCTTCTCAGTCAGGGAACCTGGGGGGACCCCAGACTCCACAGGGAGAGGACTGGGGGAGTCTTCTAAAAAGCTCAGCCCTGGGGTAATGTGTCAGGGCTGTTTGTACTGGTGCTGTTGTTTTAAGAACTGCATCCGATGGATCTAGTCTATCCCATTCACTGGTGCTCTTTTTTCTTTGTTTAAGGATTTTATTTATTTATTTTGGGGGTGGAGAGGGCGAGAGAGAATCTCAAGCAGACTCCCGGCTGAGCACAGAGCCCGAAGCAGGGCTCGATCTCACGGCTCTGAGATCATAACCTGAGCCGAAATCAAGAGTTGGACACTCAACTGATGGAGCCCCCCAGGCATCTGTGGTGCTCTTTCACCTGAATTTGGTTCTAGACCAGCTCTAGCGGAGGAACATAACTCCCCACCAGTTTCGTCCGGTTCAAGCTCCTGAGCCACAAACTGGATTCGTGTCGTCAGCCCCTGGGGGTCCTAGAACGTGACCCTAAAGACCCATTTCCACCTGTCCCCACAAGCCTCAGCCCTGCTTGCTCTGCCAGACTCGGGGTTCGTGTAAGCCTTGTAACTGGTTCAGGCAAAATACCCTGAGGATTTTTTTTTAGTGGTACTTGGTCGATGTTGGTGTCGTGACCAGGGTTTGAGTTAAAGAATTTGCACGGAGGAAGTGGTGAGTGGTGCAGGTGACTGACACAGCAGTGACTTCTGGGAGGCCCACTCGCCCCTGGCTGCTTGCCCTCCTCTACCCCCGCCCAGCCCCCTTACAAGCGCTGGCTGGTTGGTGGCTGGTGGGCTCCAGGGCCTGGGCCTGGAGGGCAGAGGGGAGCTGCCGGGAAGCTGCACTGGGCCAAAGGGCATTCCTGGCGGTGGCGTGGGTGGGGCCGCCCTTGGGGCCGACTCTGCAGCTGGGTTGCTATAATCCAGGCTGTGTCTGGGCAAGCCTGAAGATGGGGGTGACCCAAGCACAGCAGGCAGAAGGGGCCCTTGGGTCTGTGAGGAGCAGAGGGGTGGGAGCCCTCTCCCCGCCTGCCGCCAGCCCTCTGGCAGAGCCGCCTCCTGCTGCTAGCTTGGTCCTCCAGCTCTGTCCAGAGTGGGCCCTGGAGGGGGCTGGGCTCAGGCCTCGTGTCCCGAGTGTGTGGGAGTTGGCAGGCTTGTAGCCATCTCCTGCCAAGTGCAGGTGACACCTCCCTCTTCCCTCTGTGTGCATGCCTTTGTAGGGGTGTGGTGGGTGGGAGTAGGGGGTGCCAGTCCTCTTTCTGGTGATGCACATCCTCAGAGGGAAGGACACTGGGCCCAATAGTGCAGACCAGGCCCCTGTTGTACCTGGCTTGGAGCCCTTAGCTCCCGTTTGCTGCAAACAATAACTAAAGGCTCATTTAGGGTGACCAAATGACCCGGTTGGCCAAGGAATGAGGGGTTTCCTGGGACAAGGGACTTTCAGTGCTAAAACCAGAATCCTGGGCAAACTAGATGACTGGCTCCATTATTTCTAACTTTTCTTGAAAAAAAATCTTTTTTTTAAAGATTTATTTATTCCCTGGAGAGAGAGAGAGAGAGAGAGAGAGAGCGAGAGAGCGGGGAGGGACTGAAGGAGAGAGAGAGAGAAAGTTTTGCAGACTCCTCACTGAGCTCCAAGGCTGACATGGGGCTCAGTGTGGGGCTGGATCCCATGATCCTGAGATCAAGACCTGAACTGAAATCAAGAGTTGGAAGATCAACTGATTGTCCCACCCAGGGGGCCCCTTGAAAATATTTTTTAAAGCAGAGACAAACCTGGTGTGCCACACCTGCAATTTGTAATTATTTGTATTTATGAGTATTTATAATTACTCCTAGATTTATAATTATTTGAGATAAAATAATTTGATTGTATTCTGGTTTTATTTTGCAGTATTTAAACAAAATCTATATGGAACAATTTCACGTATTCAAGCCAATTCTTTTTTTTTTTTTTTAAAGATTTTATTTATTTATTCATGAGAGAGAGAGAGAGGCAGAGGGAGAAGCAGGCTCCCAAGGAGCAGGGAGCCTGGGACCCTGGGATCATGACCTGAGCCGAAGGCAGATGCTTAACCATCTGAGCCACCCAGGCACCGCAAGCCAATTCTGAGGTTAAGAGGCAATTGAGTCTGTGTGGGGGATCCCAGGTATGTGCACATAATGACCCCAGAATTCCTTTCCCCTTCTTCTGATAAAAGCACATTTGGGATTTTATGGAGTTGTCAATCGTGGGGAATCTTCCTCCTTCCTCAGAGGTGGGGCCCTGGCCAGCCTGGCTAGTCAGCATTCCCATCCCCTTA